GAAAATAGGAAGTGCGAGCCCAAATTTAAATTGATGCAATGCACAAACCGTGGCCCTCTTGTTTTGCCGGGATGATTCGCTCCCTCCGTGCTAATTTCTGGGTCAGTGTAGTAGGCAAACAGCGCAAGTCGTTTCGACGAAGTAAAGAAGGTAATAATAATGGGAATATTGAGAGCAAAATGAGAAATTATGTAAGTGGTCAAACTACCACAGTGATGCAGCCGAAGTTTGTCTGAAGGTGGTCAACTTTACCCACTATTAAAACAGAAATACCGCTATTTTAAGGCAGTTATTTAGCTGAGCTCACAGCGCGATACGTATTAAGCACATCTCTTATTTTTCTGACTTAAGGAAAGTAGTACTTAATTTTCTTCTGGTACATCAGTGATATTTCCCTCGCCTGCCGCCTGATTTTACTTATCGAGGTTGCGCTCCGCAGTTTTACTTTTTTATTAGGCCTAGACATGTTTTTATTCCTGAGATCCAAGAACAGTGCTGATAATTAAACTAGTTAAATCGTTCGGTATTAGAACATTTATGTTTCGTAGCGTCAAGGGGTCACATTCACAGACCCGGCAGTGTAAACATTCACAACGCCTTTATCGTGTTAAAAAAAAAAGTTTTTATATTTGCGTTTTTTTTGGTGCGGTATGTCGTATAACATAAGCTATCGGGGGACAGATAGTCTGGCTATGTCAAAATTTGAAATATTTCTGTTCGATGATCGTAACTACCACAGAAAACAGTAGATTCTTGCCTGAAATAGCATGTTTTCACACTCAATTAAAATCACCAATAACACGATCTCAGGAGAGTTGTGTACCTCTCGTAGCGTCATAAGCAATACACACATATCTTTCTTGTCCAGATTCTGCAATGCAATGCAAATTATTGTTTTTGTAACTCAAAGCGCGTGCTTAATCATGCCACGTGTTTGTTAATTGTGGTTGTTGTTCTTCATTCGGATTCTCCGCTATACCGTTTTAGAGCGCAGCTCTTAGGGGCCCGTTCCCGGCTTGAGCGGCGTCGCCGTCGCCGTCGCCGTCGGCGTCGCCGTCGGCGTCGCCGTCGGCGTAACCAAGGTCATCCCAAGGTCACGTGACCCCCAAGGTCACGTGACCCCTCCAGGTCACGTGACCCCTCCCAAGGTCATCTCAAGGTCACGTGACCCCACGTGACTCCCAAGGTCACGTGACCTCGAGGGGTCACGTGACCCCTCCCAAGGTCATCTCAAGGTCACGTGACCCCAAGACCCCACGTGACCCTTTGAAGGTCACGTGACCCCCAAGTCACGTGACCCCTCTGAGGTCACGTGACCCCCGAGGTCACGTGGTCTCCTCCCCAAGGTCACGTGACCCCCAAGGTCACGTGACCCCTCCCAAGGTCATCTCAAGGTCACGTGACCCCAAGGTGACCCCCACGTGACCCGCAGGTCACGTGACCCCTCTGAGGTCACGTGACCCCTCTGAGGTCACGTGACCCCCCGAGGTCACTTGACCCCCCTCCCCGGTCACATGACACCCCCCCCCCCCGAGGTCACGTGACCGCCCCCCCGGAGCATATTAAAGAATGAGGGGAGGAGGAGGGGTCTACCCTCCCCTCAGTACCCTTCACTCCTCCTCCTCAAGAGCTGCGCTCCAATTCGGCGTTACAGGGATTTGTAAACGGCTTTCACTTTTTTATTTTATTTTTCTTATCAGAGCCAAACACGTGCGTATACCACCGACCTTAAGTATAGTGCATCAAATTAAACTAGCTTCCTGAAAAGGTATCGTTCGGCGTTGTGTAATTTATTCTTCATGGCGTAGGTGGTCAGATTCTCGAATCGTGAACTGCAAATGCGTCGGCAGTTATATGCGAAGGATTGATCTATGCAAATATTTCCACTCGCTATTCATGAATTGCCACAGTTCGTCAGAATCTGAATGACTTGACTGCATAGTAAAAACGGTAAAAAAAAAGATAAAACGATGTCGGTCAGTAAAGGGAACTTCCATGGCAGGGCTCGCCAGCCTAAACAGCAAAGCGCCGATGCCGGCCAGTCACTGAACTTCCGTGTAAATACTGGCGATCAGAGACAGCAAAGTGCCGATGCCGGCCAGTTACTGAACTTCCATGTAAATACTGGCCATCAAAGACAGCAAAATACCAATGCCGGCCAGTTACTGGAACCTCGACGGAGACTGGCCAGCAAAGACAGCAAAAACCCAATGCCGGCCAGTCACTAACTTCTTCGGCTGAACTGGCCAGTGAGCAAGACGAAACCCCGACGCCGGCCGCGGCCGGTAGCTCACCGGCGCCAATGGCCGAACGCCGCCATCCTGTTACCGGGACCGGCCGGCGTAGTCCCGATACCGGCCGACGCGGCCTGCTACCTGGGCCAGTGCCAAAATGAAGCTGCAGACATAATTTTATACAGGTGAGTTCAATTCACATTTAATATACATTTCTGGCCGTATAAAATATATCATTATGTCTAATTTTGAAAATGTTAAAACAGTAATATTAAACTTCCAATTTCGGTGAATTTAGAAATCTAAAAATAAACACCGATAAACCAGAAATTTTTAGTGAAAACTAAACTAAAAAAAGACACCCTCCGAATTTAATGAAACATGAACTCCGAAAACATGGAATCCTATGTTTAACCTGCCGGTCGTGAAAGCGTATCTGGAGCATTTTTTTTTTCGGCGTGAGCTTAACCACCACTAATTGCCCACCCTCAAACATTTGGTAATCCGTCGGGAACAAGCCGTACATCTCTTGCCCCTTATTAAAATATCTGACGTCAGCTTTTCAAGCAGAACCTCTCAAACCAAATTTAAAAATTCGATACCTTGCGAAACAAAATTATTGGAACTTTTAATTTCCTGTTACTAATTCAGCTGAGTTTATCGACGAGTTGAACCAATTTGAGGAAAATGTTCACCATTTGGCGCAGTCACACTTGTTGTTCAGAATTGCTTCAGGTATTTTCTTTAATAAATACTTTAGTAGGGTGGTCTAATCATCAGCTTCGAACATCAGAAGCCGCCGCATCCTGCTCTGGCTACTCTCAGTACGGCCGATTTGTTGAAAACAAGAAGTGAATGGTCTATACGAAGTTCAAGTGTGAGTTTAGACATGACATTTGACACCCTGCTATTCGTGTTGTCGCGGCGTCCCAATTCACGCCTGCTTCGGTTTCAGTCAACTGTTTCAGAGCCAAACTACCCCTGTTTCAGGGGTAGTTTGGCCAGCTGGCGGGGCCTCGTTGACAGCTCGTCAACTACGTCACTGACACGCCACGCGAACGCCATGGCCACAGCCATACCCGCTGGGCAGTCAGGTTTTTCCTGACACGTCGCGCCATCTAGTGCGAAATTATTACAACACTGAGTCGGCCCCTCCGCCATTTTTGTTTTGCTCACGTACTGCGACGTACTGCGCGATACGGCCCGCCTTGCTAGTTTTGTCGGATCACTACATCGGTTCTGACTCTATATTTTATGCTTAAAACGCTATCAACTGCCTCGTTTAATCCCGGATGGCTCCACCAAAGAGCAAACCCTATCGAAAAGACCATCAGGAAATTCCTGATGGTCTGATGGTCTGATGGAGTCGTATTTTGGGACGTCTGATGGTTTGATGGCCTGATGGTCTGTTGGCCTGATGGTTTGATGGTCTATTGGCCTGATGGTTTGATGGTCTGTTGGCCTGATGGTTTGATGGCAAGATGGTTTGATGGCCTGATGGTTTGATGGCCTGATGGTCTGTTGGTTTGGTCTGATGGTCGAATGACCTGTCGTACTTTGAGACGCCTATTTTTTTACGGTTTGATTATGGTGGTTTCATGGCTAATTTGAAACAGTTCGAGTTGGCCACAACTTAAAAAACACAACAATATGTGAATGCATAATCTGGAAACTTAATTATGCCATGCCTGGAGCATGACGAGGTGCATATCCCACTTAGAATTTAATTATATTGTCCACTGCACACTGGTAATCGCCAGCCCGACATTTGAGTACGGCGAGTGCAGCTACTAATAAGAATAAAGTCAAACAAGTTGCATTGCTTTGATATTTTTATTATGAAGTTATGAAATCATACATTGTTTCGCTGGGCGGAATGGCTAGGTGGTACAGAAAAACCAGAAACATTGGAGGAAGTACTATTGTGACCAATATTAGTTGAAGCGCCATGACGCATGGCGTGTGGTACTATCAGAGCCACCTGTCGGATTTTCAGTGAACCTCTGTGTTTGCTGAGGTTTAGGCAGGTTGCTTCTTGCACTCATTGACACGGAATGGCACAGTGGTGCAACGAGCACAAGAAGTGATTCGTTTCTACCTCAACGCATACCAAGGTTTGCTGAACAATCTGAGAGACAACTCTCATCGCGTGCCACGTGCAGTGGCGTTTCAGCTCATATTGGCTGCGATAGTACATTTGTTCCATTTCGATAGTATTGGCAATATATAAATTAAGCTAAATTAATATGAAGAAAAGGGTAAAAAGGCTACAACATGGAGTGCAAGCGATGGCAGACCTGCAACAGCATGGGCAGTCCGTGGTGGGACCACGCATCGGGGGAGGACAGGCAGCAAAGGGATGAGCCTGGACATGTCAAGGGCAATTCAGAGATCAGCAATGAGTCCAAACACAGGACGACCATTGACATACGTAAACAGCAGAGTGGGCCTAGAGACGACTAAGGGGCAGTAAGAGTGACGTGCTTCATTGTAATTGTGTGACCATGCAACTTTTTGGAGAGTGAGCGAGCACGGCCTGATGGGATGGCAGTAGCGACCAAGCAACCCACAGCCTTTTTCAAGTGGTCAACAGACTACTTTAAAGTTGTTTGCATAAACATTTAGATATATTAACCTCTAAATAATTTATCTATACCATCATTTAAAATAATTGCTTGTAAACTTGAGACCCAAAATAGTATATTACTTAATTAAGGAAGTTAGAGTAATAGATGCACATACCTTTGTAGTGATTTCTCTTGAGATTGGACAGGTTTTCTGACAGGTACCGCCGTATCTTCTGGTGCCGGGCTGCCCTTTCAGCCTGGCGGTACCTTTCTCCCTCAGGCGTAGTCAAAAGCAGCCTGGAATATTGAAATTCCAGGGTAATTATTTTTTGCAGTGCTCAGACTTAAAACAATATAGAACGTCATAAATACAGGCTGGAGGGTCATAGTTTGAGAAGACCAAGGGTAAATTAGTCTCAAATGAAAGCAATTAAGTGGCAGCTGGCACCTAACAAACCTTCAATGTTTCTTAGTATTTACAGTGTTCAGAGATCACCATGAAAGCAAAAGTACCGCAGTATCCTGATTTATGTTCCACTCCCAATAGGAACCGTGCGGATCTAATTCAAGCCCCGACCAGGGCGCCCCTAGCGGCAAACGGGTCCGTTGCATCGGGCATCTTCTGCCAGTCGCTGCGTTGGTTGTGCGTTGTAGTGGGTTAGCGCTGTAATTTCTGAGATGACTATTCCGCACCAAGAAAGCCGCAACAAGTGCTGCCTGGTCGGCTGAAACAGTACCAACAGTACGTCGAAGATCGCGCACGGCACGTAGTACTACATCGTCCCTTCGAAGCCGTACGAGGCGGAGTACTGCGCGACCTGGGTACGACTTGTGCGTCCATACAGGTTAGTGGTGTCTTACCTTCCAGTTCGTGCTTTGTTTAAGCTGCTGACGTATAATACAGTTACCTTCTTTTCTCTTCTAGCGACGATAGAACAGCATCGACACCGACGGCAAACTCTATGCAGCAAATACTTCACCGGAATCGAGAAGCGGAATGCGGTCGCCCTCCTAAGCCTACCCTTGGATGTTTCCATCAGCCTACAGGAAGATAGTAAAGAGAATCGCGGAACGGCGCGAAAAAAAAATCGCCCAGTTATTATCAAGCTGATTCCGAAATAAACGTACATTATTACCGCAGCCCCTCAACGCCAACTAAATTTTTTTGCGGGCGCGCTTAATTTTGTTTGCAGAGTACGGCGCTCCGTGACATCCACTTGTCCGTCGAAACGGACCTCCTTCACGTCGTACACGCGGCCAGATTCATGAAAAAGTTTTCTCTTCGTCATTGGCACCACGGAAGAAGCTTCCTGGATTCGTAACCGCCTTAAACCCCGTCGTAATCACCCCGGGAACACTGTCCGCTGTGCTGCTAATCGCCACTGCTTCCCCCCGATGATTCTGCACCGGCTACCTAAGAAGCTTTACGGATTCTTAGTCGCCCACTGTCCTCTGTGCTGTTTGTTACTATTACTTCGCGATGATTCTGAGCCGGCGGCACCGGCTTCTGAAGGAACTTTCCGAACTCGTAACTGCCTTAAATTCCGTCGTAATCACGACGGGGACGCTGTCCGCCGTGCTGTTCGTCGCCATTGCTGCCCGATGCTCCTGCGGCGGCTACCGCCAGGTCGCGGCGAACAATAGGCGACCGCCGCGACACGGCCGGCTTGCTCGCTTCCTATAGACAGCTCACCCTGGCTTCTGTTAGATTCTTTTAGGCACAAAACAGATAGCCTATGTCTATAAATCTCACTGCTAGGCTTGTAAGAAATAGGAGCTACAACTGTAGATAAGTAGACAATGTACGTAGGAAACTGCTGATACTTGGTTATCATCCCTCGCTGTGGTAACAGCTTAGACACGCCACAGAATTAAAAAAATAGCATCATGAGCTTCAGAAAGAACAATGCAGTTCTATATAAAAACAATCTTTCACATTCCTTGAAAGATCTTCCATTCATGGCCTGGCTCTAAATTTAAAGGTAATTAAACAGTCTTTCAATGTGCACCTGGTGAAGGCCTCTGAAGCTTCGTTGGGAGGTAATCTAGCAATGTTAGGGATCTTGGACGTAGTCGTGACATGGCGAAAACCGCTATGTAGCTGCACTACAGATCGGAGCAGCGCCGCTGTTTGGAGGTATACTCAACTGTTGGAGTAATCTCGCCCTGAACGCGATGACCTTGACATTGCTTATCTCACACATAGGCGCTTAGACGGCTTAGTCCGCTTTGGTCAACGTAAAGCCCACAGGTGTTTCAAATGGCTAGGCTGTAACACGTCTACACCACCACTATGCACCCGAACGGCACAGCTCGTAGCCACGCCAGCTTTGCCGGATAGCCCACGACGCATCGAGCTCTCCGTTGACTTCTCTTCGAGCACTTGCTCGAGTTTGTTGCTTAGAACGAAAAATAAAATTATCTGTTCAAAATACAAATGTGCGATTATTTACGGTTATTATCTGTTATGATTGACTCATTCTTGGCGGGGTACCCCCATCACATGTCCAGGTGTTAGCAGACAACCTACTAGAGTAAAATCTCGGTGATACTAACTGGCACGAATTTCGGAATAAAACAAATTAACAAGTTCCCCGGCCGAAGTGTATTGTATACGACGTGAAAATTTTTGGGTGTTCCGAATTCCTCTACGCGCTGCGACGGCTGATACGAATGTGTGCTCCACAACTGATAGTGGCAAGGAGGCCACGATCGGCGACTGTAAGCTTTCAAGGCTACGGGCGGCTGATTGCCTGCTGCTGCCAGGGATCAGCCGCACTTTACCCAAAAACTGGAGCTCAAAATTACATGCATGTTACAATCGGACCCAAAAACCAAAACTAAACAAAATGCTAAAAAAAAACTCTGCAAAGTGGCCAGCCCCATCACCATCAACACATGTTTCAAATCCAATCCAATCTGAATCCAAAATCGCTTTTTTGTTTTTGCGATCTCGTGGAATCGTGTTTCAGCCTTGGAAAAACAAAACCGATTTTACTATAAGGTTACGTCTAAAAAACAAAGTAACTGCGTTGGCAAAAACAAAAAACCGAGTGATGTTGGTGGTATCTTCGGTGTGGTCCACGGTGACATGCGAGCTTGGTTGGAAAGACAAAGAAACCGAATTTTCGCTTGCACGTTTTTGATGTAGGGCTTCAACAGCACATAGTGTGGGCACTTTCCGAGTATGTGCATTTGATAAAATGTTTTCCACGAAGTGTATGTTGTTCAGCCGTCATAATTTTATCTGCGAAGCAGAATCGACATTTATCTGCGCAGTAGAATCAACATTAATTCATTTTTTCAACATTCGTAGGTTGATTATAACCGTGTGTTACTATCGGGGGCGTGTTAGAATCGTGTAAATTGCATACAAGATATTTTCTGCCATAAATAAATGCACATTCATGCATTCCTTGTTTCAAAATATAAATTTTGTTTTGCTTTCGTTGATACGAATTTAGCATGAAATATTTTACGCGACTCCGCGAGATTCATATCAAGATTTTAAAAATGTTTGCTTAATGAGAGAGCCTGCACCTTGCGCTGAGTGAGCGGGGCAAATGCCTTCTCTTGCCTCGCTGCCTTTGCCTTGTTGGAGATGGTGCCGGTCATCGACCTCTCCAAAAGCACTTCCACTCACCCTATGGAAGCAGCAGTGATCTTGCAAAACATGGAGTCGCACTCTGCTTTCCGCATGTTGCCCGCATTCCTGGTTGACGTGCACACCTTGCCCGACATGGATCTGTTATAAACAAAAGCGAGAAACAGCTTCACATATACCATTCGTTGACGTAGAGTGGTACTGTATACTCCAAGATGCATTGAAAATGCACTAAAATAATTACATTAATGAAATTTAGGCCTTTAAATTTAAGACAGCACTACACATGAATTCCTATCTTCATGGGCGTCTGCGAAGCTGGTGGGCCTACAAAGCTTCATGGCATCTGCATGAAACAGCTACATAATCCCTTAGTTGCATCAGGTGAGCATGACAACAGAATGTTTTCCAGGCACTGGCTGGAACTACAATTAAGAGTCTGGCTACAATAATGTTTTAATGACTTCTTGTTGCAATCGATTCAATCTACTGTGCTTACATTATCTCAGAAGTGGCCAAAGCGAGGCTCGCGAGCCGCACGCGGCTCTTTGCGGGTCCAAATGCAGCTCGCGGCTCCCTGGAAAACGTGTCCCCTAGACGAAAAGGGTTCTAGAATTTAGAAAGAGCTACAAGTCTTGGCAGCCTGGCAACACACTACATATATACACCTGGAATGCTTTTTGCAACATAGATGCGTCGAGTGACCCTGTTTCCTTTATTGTTATAGAAAGACTTTCAACCGTATACGCATAACAGTTGTCAGGGGCAGTGACTGGCTAGTGAATCGTGTATTAATTTATGCTTAGCAGTGGAAAGGACCTTCTGATACAGTGTCATTTGTTGTTATCGCCCATCATACTTGTCCTCTATGGAAATAACTGTTCCCTCCATATTGTTTCTTGTTAAAAGTAGCCCCCTCCCCCTTTCTTTTTTCCAGCGACTCTAAACTTTCGTAGTTTTGTCTGCGGCTCTAACTCCATGTCACTCTGGCCACACCTGCACTATCCTAAACTCTTTTAATGTATATTATACACTAAATGAAAGTGAAAAGTTTTTCAATTTTACCATTCCTTCCTTTTCTGGAGGCCGATGCTAGGATCCACGATCTCATTCTTTGCAGGGATGTCCTCGTCAGCAACTGAAAAAAAACAATTTCACATTAAAGAGGTACAGAAACCAACTTCTAGCGCTCATTTTATCGCTTTAATGAGCTGCAGGTTGCAACATAACCTCAAAAATACGAGTCCTTTGCTGAAGGGCACAAGCAAACTAATTTTAAAGCTAATCAAACAATCTTTCAATCTGCACCTGGTGGATGCATGTGGAGCCTATTTGGGAGGTAATCTAGCAACATTGGGGAACTTGCTACGTAGTCATGACGTAGGAAGGACATTCCTCGGTCATTCTGCTTAGCAACAGAGCGCAGCCACAACAGTAGAGTAGAGAGCTCTTTGCCGTTTATGCCTTCTTTCTCAGCATTATTGTTTCCACCCTTTATGAATGAATATCCTCTATGCAAGACATAAACCATGTGTTGCATATGACATGTTCGGCTCTATCACCGCACAGCAAACTTCTTTCATATACTACAGGTTCATTAAAAAAGTTACCTTTTTAATGCTAAAGCATGGGTTCTGTTAGTACGGTAAACATACGAGTACCCAGAGGTCAGGCCATAAATGACTCACGTGTTAGGCAGTAGGGCCCTACAGCACCTCCCGCATCAACAGCCGAGCCGCAGGTAGTCCTGCAATTGATAGAGCAGGGTAAGTCAGAGAAAGGTGTTTCAAGCAGCTCTGCCGGTGTGCCCCCTAGCAGCATTACTCACGCACATTGGGGTGTAGGCAGAAAGCATGGCATTCCTCATCAACAAATCATGACAACACATTGTTGCCGGCATCAAACTAAATCTCTGTGCTATTTTTCTTTTTTTTTTGTGATTTAGTTGATTCTTTGTCTTCCTTGTCACTCCCGACTGCTTTACTGGCCTTTGCGAAATAAAGAAGGCTTGGTAAACTGCAAAGCCTTGACTGAGTGGTGAAACTGAGCAATCCCAAGGAAGTATAAATGTTAAGGACTCGACATGACATTACGCAGTGTTGGGATTCCCAAGCTGCTTTCCACACTCACATTTTGTGCATGACCAGCTCTCTTTCTGCATCAGTTGGATTGGTCAGTTGTGTGCCCGTTTCGGTCGCTGCTAGCCATATGTGGCTGGAGCTGCTTTTGAGAGCCTTGCAACATCGTCACTTTCAGCTTTTGTCCTGACATAAACCGCATCTAAAAATTTAATTAGCGCTAAGATTTAGCTTTTAGACACTCCCAGAAAAAATAGGCTGTACCACATTACATAGACAGGTAATGATATTCTGGTGACCAAATTTCCACAAAAACTGCTTTGCGTTAGAGGGCACAAGGGCTGACGTTCCTGGGAGGAGCAGCTTTGTGTGAACTTGCAGATACTTCAGCTGCCTGTTTGCGCCTGGCCAGTTTAGTTGCCATTTCCTCTTGGGTTTCTTGTAGGTACAGTCGGGGACAAAAGTCTCCAGGACACGCAAGCTGCGACTGAAACGCATTCCTCTGCCATCTGCCGGCACGGCAGCTCAATTAAGCGATAAGCTGAACTGGTTATAAAGCAAGGTGCGCTGACACGACGAAATGCGGCGCAATGCCCCAGGCGGTATCTCGAGTTTTGGAATGTATAGCAGACGCTCGTCAGCCGCCAGCGCTATCTCCGAGGCAGTACCATGTGCCCGATTCCTAGTTAGGTGCTGTGCCGCAGAAGAGCAGGAAACACACATGTTTGCAGGCAGAGTAGGACGCGCATGCGCTCTTGTGTGATCTCGAAACCAGGCGACCCGCCGGCAGGTGCAGACCAATGGGTTTCAGCCGCAGCTAGCACGTCCTGGGGACTTTTGTCCCAGACTGTACATTTGTGATCATGAATAAATAAATTGGTCAGGAAGCAATGGCAGCTGATGCAACATCAATGCAAGCCATGTATTATATGACTCGCATGAATCGACATTGAATCAGCCACAATAGGCCTTATGCGAAATAGCTTGGTGGTCTGACAACACTGAGAGCGTCGCCATATTGAGTTTGTCAATCGTCGTGAGAGAAAACCGAAGCCGCCCAAGCACTGGAAGCATCGGAAACACCCCGTACGGGCAGTGTGCGATGGCAGGGCCGCGGTGTTTTCCGCCTTCCGACCATAGAATGTGGACAAACAGCCTGACTAACTTGCCTCCGCTATCGGACGAAACTCTCGGGGGCCTTTGCACGATGGCGACAACCTCGTCAAAGCAGCGGAGCAAGTCCTACGTCTTCGCTGTGGAAGCCTACACAGTGCCGTCTTCCGTGCGGACGAACATCTGCGATTCAAGGTACTGTGAACTATGGCCTCTTTGTTTAACATCGTAAATAGGTGCGGTGCTTAATACTTTGTAATCAAAGAGTTGCGGCTGTATGCGTACGTGTGTGTGACGAGCGCTCTGCGTGCATTTCGTAGCGCGCGCGGGCGTGGTATTGGCGCGTTCACACCGGCGATGCGATCTAGTCGCGCGATAACTTTCATCGCAAAAGCGACCATTGCGGGAAAGAAAGTGACACGATTTGAGCTGTCGCTACAGGCGCATTCCCACCGGCGATGTAAGCAGTGGTCACACCGGCCTTTTGCGATGCGATCTAGTCGCGGAGCGGCTGTTCGGAGCGAGAGTTTTCGAGAAGCGACTCGCCAACGAAGGCGTTGGACTCGCTCATCGCGCACGCCAGTGTGACTATCTAATTTTTTTGCGATGTGATCTAGTCGCATCGCGCGACTGCTTTCATCGCCGGTGTGCACACGCCCGAGATCGGACGCATGGGCCCGTGTTTCTTGCGACGCACTGACACGCTAGTGACAGTTATCGCATTGCAATTTGCTGTTTTCATCGCCTTTCTGCACCCCCCTTCCCCCCCTCACACACACGCACAATCGCTCTAACTGTGCAAATAAAGACCGTTATGAGCCATGCGAACACTTGACGCTGTCTCGTATGCTTGTCTGCTCTAGCGTTACAGCCCATGACAAAATGCTGTATGAGGGGGAGGGTGAGAGGAGGCCCTGGCAAAATGGTAGATTTGGGGGGGGGGGGGGGGGAAGGGGGGAAGCCGGGCCCCATGGGTTCCCCCCCTGGCTACGTAAGTGATTGTAGCGTTGTTATTGGTAGAAAAGCAAAAAGTATTTTAAGTGCAGCTTGTAAATTTTTTTTTTTTTCGTTATTGTTGCAGCCTTGGGATCGTCTACGGCCGAGCGGTGTGCTACCGGAGCCAGAAAAAAACTGGTCTGCCCTACAACGTCCTCCTGGCGTTCAAGGCTGACAGCGGTGAAGTTACAGAATCAAAATGCGCGTGTCCTGCTGGTGCAGGGGGTGCGTGCAGCCATATACTTGCTGTTCTACGGCTGTTTATTTTGTTGAAGAAAGAGGGATTTAAAGAGGCACCGCCTGAGCTCTCATGCACAGAACTTCCCCAACAATGGGGGCGCCCTCGCCGACAAGGCATCAAGCCGATGAGCGTCCAGGATGTAGACTGGAGGAGTTCTCGGGAGGGTGGCATGGAGATGGCAATGCCAGTGCAGCTCTACGATGCACGAGCTGAGAAGCAGGAGGACGAACAACAACTGCAGTCTTTTCATGCACTAGGAAGGGGCCTCGAGAACATTGGAAACTCTGACTTCGCGTCAGTTCTCCTAGCAGCACGAAGGCAGTCTGTGGAAACAAAACTCGGACCTGCCCCTGCCGGCTCTCCAATGTCCTACCAGCAAGCTCAACTACCTGCAGGCTTCACAACATGGATGTCTGACAACATTGTCATGGGAGCAGGCACCATCAGCTTAGTTCCAGTACCGTCTTTCTTCAACAGAGCTTCAGAGCCAACATTCCCTGGCGGGTTGAGCGCTCAAGAATTGAGCATATTGACAGTAAGTGTTGTCGATGCGGATGACATGCCATCAAGGGTGTCATCAACAGTACTGCCACAGTGTTCATGCTGTTCTGTCGGGCGGTGATAGGGTAAATCATTTTGCTGGCTGTGAACAGTGTTCCACAACAACAATGGCATAAGTAAATGCGTCTTACATGTAGTGCACAGCTCGTAAAGATAAACCACAGCCGGACTGAATGCACACTCTCTCTTACGGCCTGTGCAATGCGGCGTGATACTGCCTTTAGTACTATTGCGGACTCTGTTAGCTATAACACGGCAGCCGTGGCTGATCCCTACCCCTGCGACACATAGCAGTTGCCCTCTGAAACACCGCACCTAGTCTGTGCGCCAGAATTGTCCTTCCAGGTTAATGCCACACAAGGTCACAACCTGTAGTGAGCATGCGCAGGTGGAACAGTGGATGAGAAGAGCTGCAGCGCCTCGTGCAGAACGGCATGCATGCTTCCGCAATTCCGAAGGTTGTATGAAAGCACAGGAATCCAGTCCGGCCGTGGACAAACAAACACAAGTGTTGTAACACTTCACTAGTGTCGTATTGCACGAAGCACTGAACAACATTAAAATTTTGGGTCAAAATCAGATTCCATGTTGCGATGATCAGCGTAAACATCAAAGCAAGCTTCGCTTAACACCGATTCCCACATGATGTGGGATCCACATATTTTATTCTGTCCTGCTTTGCTTTGGCGGCAAGCAACAATGTAGCTGCACGGTGTACGACCGCTCCAAAGCCAGCCTGGTCACGTGTAGCTGAATTTGCGCTTGATGCCTAAGTGAGACCAGCTGCAAAACACAAAGCTAAAATGCATCTTAAAGCCTGGAAAGACTTTGATGCACATTATTTTACTTTTTGTGGAGGTGGTAAAAAGCATTCACAGTTCAAGAGTGAAAGGTTGTTCCAGCTATCAGTCTCAACAAGTGCAGCGATTTTAAGGTGGGCTAAATTTGCAGGTTAACATGTTGAACCAGCGAATGGCATCTGGCACGCCCCAGTGGGAGACAGGGTTAATTTAGACCACGTGGCAATTTTTGACAGCAACCCAACCCCAATCTGAGTTACACGGTGCCTTTCCGCATTAAGTCTCAGTCAAGTTGCGGGCAGCTCGGCCAATATTCAAACTTGCCGACTGGGGATCCATATGCTAGCACTTTGCATCTGAGCCACCTAGGCGGCTAGTGTGGCAAGCTGTGTTTTGTTTTTTTCGCAGGAAATCCAGCTTTCACCAGAGGAGGCGAGAGACCTGGAGCGTAATACCAGGCAGCAGCGACACAGTCAACGCTGGAAGAAAGCACGGCTGAACAGACTAACTGCATCGCGTTTCGGATGTGTCATCACACGCAAAGAGTGGACGGAGAAGGGCCTCAAGAACCTAATTGAGCCAAAGGACCTGACACGCGTTCGTGCTGTTCAGTACGGGATAAGAAACGAAAGCATGGCCAAGGACCGGTATGTTGCTGTGATGAAGAACTATGGACACAATGTGTCAATTCAGCCCAACGGCCTATTTGTAGATCCATCATGCCCCTGGCTAGGTGCAACGCCCGACGGACTAGTCTATGACCCAGAAGAGCTGTCGTACGGTATTCTAGAAGTCAAGTGCCCACATTCTCTCAAAGACAGTGAGCCAGACTATGCAAAGAAACAAAAGTTTTCTCTAGTTTTTGGAGAGAATGACAAGCCACAGCTAGACAGAGACCACGATCACTATGCCCAGGTTGTGGGGCAGATGGCTCTGACTGGCTGTTTGTGGGGAGACTACGTTGCTTGCTCGGAGAAATGGATCGGCGTCGACCGTATTCGATTTGATCAAAATGAATGGCTCGAAATGCGCAAAAAGCTGGACAGCTTTTTCTTTGCATACAACCTTCCCTATCTTGTCAGGAGGCAGGACACGTGCTAGTGTCTAAAACAAAAGGCAATGGGTAAAAGCCACTTGGAGAGTGGAAATGCTTTCCTCACATTCCTAAGTAGCACACTTGACCGGCGTAAGCTAGAGCCATACCTGGCCCAAGCTTGCGCCGGTCAAGTGTCCTACTTGGGTTATGTACACATTGCGACATTGTTAGCGCAAACACAACATAACTGCATTTTCTCATTTACTTCGAACGAGTATTAGTGGGGTGCAAAATTTTACCGCCTACATTATAGCCCTAATTGATCCCTTTCCATTAAATAAAAACTAATTACACTGTTTCGATTTCAAAAGGAAAAAAAATGTGATAGCTTTTTTGCGCTAACAACGTCGCACTCTGTACGGCACCATACATTTCAGCACTATCGTTATGGGCTGTAAAGGTGCCCTGGTGTTGCCGTGTAGGTGGAACCTTACGGATTGCTGTGTTTGCAGTAGTTATTGCTTTCCAACGTTCATTTCCAAGCTGTCTAGTGAGAGGTGTTAGTGCTAAAGATGTTGAGTTACATACATTTCTGGATCTGCATGTTGGTGATATTCACTAGTCGCAGCTACCGCTGTAATGAGCAGACACTACTGCTAAACTGAAAGTGACATTTTGTACTAAATTTTATTTTGTTCACATTCAATATGGAACCGACAGATAAAGAAGAATCAGGAGCGCCATATTTATCTACTTTAAACACCGGTTCATTCGCACAGACTTCTTTCCATTTTAGTTTGTAATAACAGGTTTGCAATGTTCTAACATTATTTGTGTGACTGCCTGTGTGAATATACCATGTCTGCCTCATGCCAGTTTCAAGCACCCTGTCGCAAAATAAAGTGTTACTGTAGATTCTACACCAACTCGTTTGTAAATAAACCCGTTACATCACAGCAACTGTGGGCACCGCGCACGTGCAGAGGCCTGTTTACGAACGAGCTACACATATACGCGTGCTCCGTTGCGAGGCCAGTGTTCCCGAATGGATGCGACATCGGAGACGTGAATTTTTGTATATGGTGGGAACGAAAAAGACGGGCAATACAAAAGCTTCAGAATTTATGCAGTTTTAATATCTTGTCGAGCTTTGGCACAGCATGCTATCGCACCACTCTGCAACTGCTACGGTGACCACATTCTAGAAACAAAAACGCACTCAATGCAACTATTTTCCCCCAAAAAATGCACAAGCATGGATAAGGATTTTTACTGCGAGGGAGAGATAGGGGTGATACTACGTCACACAACAAGAAAGTTATTTTGTGAAAGCCCACAGGCTAATATACATGTATGGCCTCCATACTTGTCACTACTCAGTCCACCATTTCAGGCATGCTACCCAAATGCTGAATAAGCGAGCACTGAAAATTGCTGAGGATTGCTGCCACAGTCCAAATCTGGTTAATCAGTGGAGCCAAGGTAAGAGGTATGGGCCGATCAAAAATGTGATACGCCTTTATCCTTTGTATCCTTCGCTCCACATGTATTCGCAGTGAGGCAATCTCTTTGGTTTCTTCGACTTGACTGGGCGAGAATGTGCGGCCCTTCAAAAAGGGGGCCAAGTTCAGCTTCACACCTCTTTTTTCCAAAAGGTCGTGGATGCGAAACCCTTTATCCGCCATTACGGCATCACCAGCATCAAACTCTAAGTCCAGAAATCCACTCCTTATTACACATTCTCTGTCTGAACTTGAGCCTGTAAAAAGCTCTGAAACAAAAGCTACAAGCCCGTTCGGAGAGACACCAATAAGGCCCTTGAATGTGTTTGTGGACTTGTATGACGAATAGGTAGATGACTGGAGAGACAAAGAAGAGGGCACCTCACACTTAATTTCAGTGGCATCCAAAATTACTCGTGTCGACGCATACTTTTCAGCAAACTCTGGTGGCATGGTCGCATCAACTGTCTCCCTAGGCGCCCACAGAGGCAACACGCTTAGTTTGGCATACAGAAAGTTCATCCACGATTTGCAAATTCTTGAGACTGTCGATTGTGCGATAAAAAATCTATGAGCTAAATCTGCCTCAAATAGACCAAGGCGTAGCCGAACAAGAACTAAGAATAGTTCGTTTTCGGTGCTCAGCTTTCGTTTACGCCCCTTCAATGATCCTGTTCCGCTGCTGCTCTCTGCACGTAAAACGTTGCAGCCACCATCCCCGGGGTTGATGTAAAGAAGCAATTCAACAAAGTGTTTGTAACTTGTAAGGCCGGTATAGAACATAACGTCTTCATCACTGTCCTTGAATCGTTGGATGGTAAATGGAGAAGCGTCTTCTTTTTCTTGAGCAAGTTGGCAATCAAGAGAGAGCTTCTCTGCTTGCAGTTCCCGAATTGTTTCTCTTGCCATTTCCAACTGATGTCGGAAAAGTCCACACTCATCTTGAAGCCTTCCAATTTCTTTGTTCAAGCCTTGAATGATGCTTGCCAGACGTGCACTGTCTGTTGCAGGCAATGTGCTGTGGTCAGTAGGCTCCAGTGGGTTTTCAGCCGCAGCCTGCACTTCATTTGTGCAACACACCGCTGGATCATCCTGCATAGTGTTGTCTATTTGTTGGGATCTTGGCGCTGGTGCATTAGCCTTTAGCTGTGGCGGTGCACGCTTTTTTGGAGGCTTTCGCACTGTTTTCTTTTTGGAAAAGGAGAAAACGGATGGCACTGCCGTATCACGAAGGAGCTTTCGGCCACTCACAACGCTGGGTATGTAGTCACTTTCATGAAAGTGTTTCGAGCACAGCTTTGTCCACTTGCTTACTTGAAACTCGGGGCCTTCATCCCTTCTGATCGCGACAATCCATTTTTTGTAGACCATGGGATCTTTAGGGAAGCGATGGAAGGATACCTACAAGGAAAAAGCAGAAGGAAAGTTTAATGAAATATTTCAAGCAGGGCTCACTTTCACTCTGGCTCACAAATAGCCAAGCATAGTTGCGAATCAACAGCAGCGTTCGTGAATGAATGCGCGCAAATGCCATCGCAAATGTGTTGAAGTAACCCCACAGGCAACATAAGCTGAAACGCTCGATTCGCCCTTAGTCTACGTATGCGGTTTCCACAAGCTCCATACTTTCTCAATTTGTCAAATAGTTCAAAGTACGGCGTCTTACCTATGCATTTCATATCTAGTTAGAACCACAGCTGTATGAAAAACTGGCAGGTAGGCAAAGGAAGCACGAAGGGCTGTTTCAGCTCACGTCCACGATTGCAGAGTCGGGTACGGTCTTACGCGATCGCGCGGTTCGGCCGGTCCCTCGGAGGCCAAGGGCCCACGGCAAACATCTATGTCTCTATGAAGGGGCGATAAACAGCAAGGAACCGCGACACGTTCCCCTCGCCCAGCTTAATCCTTCCTCGTCGGCCTCTGTGACCGCCTCCAGATCGCTCCTGCCACCGAACTTACATAGTAGTAGTTTTCATGTACAGAACACGGTAATTAAAAATCTGTATTGTTCTTTACTACACTTTGCGAGTGTAGTTGCTTTGACAAAGCGAGGGCTGGTCTGTCGGAAACATCTAATCCAGCCGCAACGTCGCCCGGCACGCAGAAAACATCGACTACTTTTTATGGCATTTCATTTCAGTAAAAAGCCGCTACTCGGCCTGTACGTTCATCCAGTTAGGCAGACTCCACGTTACCGTGCAAAGAGAACGCCCCGCGCACCGTACAAGACCCTCGATCAGCGTGCTTGCAAACACTCGGTCCGGACAAGAGCAGAGCGACTTCACGCACCGCTTCTTCGGCACTTTCCGTCTGCTTCGTTTACCGCTAAGAAAGCAAACTTTGTGCCACATACCTTATTTCCATTGCTGTCCTTGATTCCTCGCTGTTTGCACAACGGCGCGCAGCAGTGTACAGGCATCTTGCCGGTAACGAACGGAACGGTCTCACAGCACGCAAACCAGACCGGCTCCGCTTCTCGCCAACATCAAAATGGCGGACAGGCTTCTTTTTGCATTCACCAGATGGCGCAGCTAATTTCGCATAAGGCCTATTATGCGCCTAAGTTTGTGCTGCGGAGCGCAAGAGTTTGGCGCTCTGTTCATTAAATGGACAGAAGCGCCACCAAAGGACTGACACTCAAGCGTGCTCTTTTTGCACCGAGTATTTCTCGAAGTGCAAGTCATTTCTTCACGCTGACAGAAACGTCGCCGAGACAAGGAGTGCAGTGGATCGCTGCCTTATTTCAGTTGAAGAATGCTTAACCCAGCGAGTAAAATGATTTGATTTCAAAGCCAGGACCATTACGGAAAAGGTTTGTTCCCGAATCTCACCTGAAAACGAATTACCCATCGAACAGTAGCGTTATGATGGTACAGCGACAGAAAAGTTGTCGAGATGGGAGGACAGTCCGATCGCTGCCCTTTGTAGAATGCACAGCCCTGCGAATAAAGATACTTCGATTGGAAAGCGAAAACGTTGCAGAAAAAGTTTGTCCATGCATCTCGCTTGAAAACTAATTAATGTGCTATTTATTGAACGGTGGTGTGCCAGTATTGGAGTAGCACATCAACAGGTTCCGTCTCGCGCTGGAAGACGGAAACCCAAGATATCTGACAAGTTTGAGTTTCTTGTCTCTACAAGCGAGTTCAAGAATGCTGTCTTTCATTTGAATCTAAACAGCATGCATGGTCAATAAATAGATCGGTCAAAGTAACATTCAGCATATCTGGTCGAAGCGAGTCTTGAAACTTTTCACAAATATTAAAACATTCGTAAAAATTTCCTAACGTCGCCGCGCTTTTTTTTTTTTCTTTTTTTTTTTAGGGGGGGGGGGGGGCTTTTACTTCACCATTTTACAGAGCCCTTAATTAATTTTATCTTCAAAATAATTTTGCCATCCGCGAGAGGCTGGGTTCGTCATAAAACTGTGGTCGGAAGTGGCTCATACAGCTCGCCGACAGCTTCGGTGTGTTGCGCTACTGTACGCTATGCTTCGTTTAGTTGCTGCGCTCGGAGTGTGAAACTCGGAACGGTGGAGTACGAGTAAATTAGCGCGGACTTAAGGCACAGGAGCAATGGCGGCTTGTAGGGTGCCATATGATGTCACGTGCAAGGCAGTTCAGTCCACACGCTCAACTGAAGTATTAGCCCATGCATTCATCTGCCTAGCTTGGTGCCCCATATAAGCAGTCTACAATATTCACTTTTAATTACAGTCGCAATAAAAAAGAAAGAAAACGGCGATTGCTTGTGGCTACGTCCAGTGGCGTACCAACTTGTTTTTGAGTGGGGGGGCAAACCCGACCCTCTTCCCCCCCCCCCCCCCTTAATCGAAAATTCGGCGCAACTTTTGTCGAAGTTTTCTAAAGATGTGGCAATGATTCGGCAAAATTACAACGTTACCAGACTTAACATTGATATTTTGTTTTTTCTCACGAAAAAAATTTTGCTTCTTCTTCTTAAAATAAATACAACTTGTAGTGCCTATTGAAACAGTTATGATTAAATAAGGTGATATTCTACAAGATAATTGTATCGATGTCGCTTTTGTGTGTTTACTGGCAATTTTAGTGTTTGCTTGCAGAAAGTGGCGTGACAACGAGGTTGGGTAGTAGCCGGAGGAGTCACGAATCACACTACGAGAGTTTTGATTTTGAGGCTTCATCAGCGCACGCCTGCAAGTATGTTTACATTGTTAAAATAAAGACAATCACTGCGTTCTTACTTTCTCTGGGAGGCACCGTTTCGTGCGCGAAAACGGATGCAACGGTTGTTTAGCCTTCACCAGAAGAGATAACAATACTGTAAATATGCATGTTTTTCGATTTGAGTCACTTGACGTCAGCTTTGCATGAAAGTGCGCGTTCCATATTCGCAACGTGCCGTTTTTAACCTTTAAAATTCCGGTTTCTGGTGTTAGGACACACACGGACGTTTAGGAAGAGGGGGAGAGTTAGGAATGTCGGATGTGCAACGTCGAGCATGATAGTTCTGTGTTTAACGAATACTTTTCATCAGTGTTTACTAACGAGTGCTTGGACTTCGTCCCCACTCTCCCTGAAGAGCTTTACGAGCGCATGCATCCTATTAACGTTAACTCCGCTGGTATTAAAACATTGATTGATAAACTAAAACTTACTTCGTCCACTGGAACCGATAACATCAACCCTAAAATTTAAAAGAAACACCCGTGTTATTTCTAGTGAGTATTTGAAACTCATCTTCATTCAGTCCTCATCTCAAAGCTGCCTTCCATCTGACCAAAAGGTGGGAAGGGTAATTCCCAGTCTTTAAACAGGGCAGCCGCTCTTCCGCATCTAATTATCGCCCTAATTCATTGACTTCAATTTCTTGCAAACTACTTGAGCATATCCTCTACTCCAATATCATGAGGCACCTATCATCCCATTTCTTTTCTTTAAACAGCAGCACGGTTTTCAAAAGGTACTTTCCTGCGAAACGCAACTCTGCGACTTCATCCATGACTTGCACACTAACCTTGAATGTCACGTCCAAACTGACGCAGTTTTTTTTGTTTTTTTCCAAAGCGTTCGGCCGTGTCCTCCATCAACGCCTTCTTTCTAATCTATCATCTTTTTGCCTCGACCAATAACCGTTTCCATGGATTCGTGACTTTCTTTTTTCCCGTGTACAGGTCACGTCCATGATGATCATGAATCTTCCTTAATAAATGTATCTCCTGGTGTTCCCCTGGGGTTCGTACTTGGGCCCTTACTCTTTTTAATATTTATTAATGACATTCCCATTGGGATTTCTTCAAAAAAACGCTTTTTCGCCGACGACTGCGTCATCCATAACAAAGTAACTTGTGTGCAAAATAATAACCAGCTTCAGGAAGATCTAGATAAAATTAACAATTGGTGCAAAGAGTGGAGTATGTCACCAAACAAGTATAAACGCAAACTAATCCACTTCACCAAGAAAAAAACACTCTGTCATTTAATTACTTCTTGGACTCCGATCTGATTGAGACCGCTACTGTGTATAAATACCTTGGTGTAAGACTAACATCTGACCTTCCCTGGAATAACCACATTGAAGTCATTACCGCCGATTCATCTGGAACTCTTGGACTAAGCAGACGTAACTTAAAAAATCGCTCCACCCTTTGTCCCTAAGCTAACCTTTAACACGTACGTCAGACCAAAAATAGAATATGCTTCAACCATCTGGAATACCCATCGACTGTACCTGATCAATACGCTGTAGAGGCAGTTCAGAACAGAGCTGCTCGCTTCATTTCATCCACTTATGACTTTTCTTTCAGTGTCTCGGCGCTAAAAACTGAACTAACCATGTCCTCTTTGCAGCTTCGCAGGAAAGACTCTCAGCTGTGCCTTATTCACAAAATCTACTACCACATTCCCGACCTCAAAACCACTTTGTTATTACCTTTCGACCGAACATCTTCTCGCCTCAACAACGTCTGCGCCATCAAACACACTTCTGGCTCTACGAACGCTTTCAATTGGTCATTCCTTTCTCAAGCCATCAGCCACTGGAACAGTCCCCCATCCTCCATTGTCACCATCTTGGACCCTGCTGATTTCTCCTCTGCAGTAAAACTACACCTTTCTTGGCCCATGTGATGGTGTGCGGGGCTAGGCAGATCAGTGAAAACACTTACGCAGAGCGCTTGCCAGGCCAGACTTGTACGTAGTTCAACTACTTTACTCAAGTTACTGTAGTTTAACTACTTTTCTGGGTAGTTTAGTAACTTTTAATTACATTTCTATTCTAGTAATCAGTAGTTTACTTTAACTACTTTTCCGAGTGACTTCCACTCAAATTACAAATTACTTTCTAATTTTAGTGGTTGTTTTGCCTATCAACAGAGAACAGAGGTCGGAAGGTCAGCTGATATTTGCAGAGGGGGAAGCATGCGTAGTAGAAAAGGGGGGGATGGGAAGGAAGAAAGTGATTTAGATAGTCCAAAAAACCCCAAAATTTTAACGAGCCCCCCCACTGCAACAACACTGCTACGAGGCGCGGGGAGCGAACAGACATGACGCAAGAGAGGTCGAGTAACTGTGGGATTAGCTCCGAATAGTGGCGTTTCTTTGTATTCCGAAGCTCAAGGAGACTTGACGCATTTGAAGAAAGGGCTTGTCCCCGCTTCTCTCCAATGTAGGAATTCTTGCCCACTACAGGAGGTGCACACACTGCTCCTTTTACGGTGCAGGCGATAGAACCCCTAACAACGACGCTCACGCCGGATGGGCTGCTCGTGTATCACTCGAAGCGCGTTAACCCACCCCCGCGCCTGCGTTCACGCCGCTTCGCGGTGACGGTGTGGGGCTGCTAATTACAAATCTATTAACCCACCTAGCCCCCCTAATCCCCGAACACGCCGCTTTGCGGCGTCCGGTCGGCAACCCAAGCCCCGCTGCCCCCCATGCACTTCCGTAAAAAGAGTCGATACGATTTAGTTTAGCGATGTTTCGTCAACAACATTCGTTTTTTTAGTGTTAATGGTAAAAAAGAAATGTAAATATCGCCAAATGCCTCGACAAAACAAAATGTTCGAGAAAAAAAAATAAAAAGAAGTAAGCCGGCCCACACCATAAATAGAACCCGGGTCTGACACGTATGAGGCAGACATCTCACCACTAAGTTACGCTACCTCTTCGGAAACTCGCATTGCATCCGCTGCCTATGATGACGGCGGCAGCGCCTATCTCCGAGCAAGCAAGCAAAACTTTATTTTGTGTAAGGGCCTACGTCCTGGTCTGGACGGCCCGTCCGGCCCATGTCTCGCGGATGGATTCCGTAAGGTTACCGTGTAGCCTTGTTCGTGGAGCAAGGCTTTACGAACCAGCCAATCCGGCGTGCGTGAGCACCGTTGCTAGGGTTTGTATCGCCTGCGCGTTAAAAATATGCCCGCGCGGGTCGGGGGGCAGTGCCCTTGGTATTCCTT